CCAGAAGCAGGAAGCCATGGGAATGGATGGAAATTGGTTTCCAGTACCATGTCACTAGCCCAGCCAGAACCGAGGAAGGAGCGGGTCAGCCCATACAATCCCGGTAACGTGGTCGCGATCTGAATCGGAGATGGTTCCAATTAATTTATCTCTACTATCAACAGTAGTGTAGTGTAGTACTGTGCTCTTCCTGGGGGTGGGAGATAGTACAAGAGTAAGTTGATCACAAGTCTAGTGGCTGAGGAAATATCCGGTGTAGCGACCTCTAATGTATATTTTCTGTTTTGGAGGTCACGTTTGGAAAATTACCATGACAGGGTCTCGTAGCATTTTGCGACCGCAAGAGATTGATTCATCATCATCATCATATTACCATCACCATCATTAGCTTGGCTATTTTATTTACGGAAACAAATCAAGAACCAGGTTGGCGTGACCCTGAATTGACTGGTTTATTTTGACACCGCGGGTTAGAGATGAGTTTAGTGGTTTCTAATTCAGTATTGGAATGCCCGCGATGGATGGAAGTGCTCTCTTCCGCATCGTCAGGCGGGGCGTGTTGGATATTACTTGTTACCAACAAGAGGAGGGGGGAAGAAAGATCCCTCGCATCCACACAATCTCATGCAAGCACGGGTGCTTGTCTACCTACTTTTACCTCGTCAATAGTCTAGTCGTCCCTCGGAATCATTCTCGCACACCCTCGGGCTACGAGAAGGAGGATTGTGGTCGACTCCGCACCAAGAGAGGCAAATACCTCATGACGGCAGACTCCGACCCCCATATTAATTAACACGCGAGAGCTCCAACTCTGCAGACCACGCAAATTGCAAATGAAGTTCCGGTCCAACGCGTTGCAATAAAAAAGCCATTTCGTCATCCTGCATGACCCTCTGCCCTTTTCCGCAGCAACCCTTCCCCGATATCATCACCTACAGCATCATGGCTGAAATTGTGCAGCAAATGTTGATGATTAGTCCGATCTAATTTGCTCTACTTGCATGAGAGTGCGGGTTGAGCTTGCTAGTTATGTAGTATATGTACTGTAGATATCTGACCACCCAAAAAGTATGTGACGACAGTCGCCCTATAGTCTGAACCAACCTTTCATCCCGGTCTATACTAGTCAATCGGCTAAGAACCATGAACTGGTCGGACAAGGTTGCAATACGAGTTGACCTTTCATGCCACGAAAATAATACCAAAGAGAATCAAACTTTCATTGTTAGATCTCTGATGGATGGATTTTCCCTGTAACGCACGGTGCACCCCATCGCATGATACATTTGGGCCTTGCGCCAAATGCTGCACCGCCGACCATGCATGCACACAACGAACCCGAACAATACCTTCGACAGGAAGAATATTCGATGGAAACTCCGCGCAGAGAGGCATGGGAGTAGTGCTCCATAATGTGCAGCTGCAAAGGGGTACTTACTTCCTGTGTGTACCAAGAATCTCCCAGCATTCAGCATGAGCCGCCCCGTTGCGTTGCTATACCGCCTCAACCAGGATCCCTACTGCTTAGCGGTATTACGGGGATTCCTAGGCCCTGCAGCCAGCCCGCGCGCCCTATAGCCCTCCGGCTACGGCGTTCCCAGTCGGCCAAGTCATCAACTCTACCAACTTAACTCCTAACCACATCTTTACTAGACTCAGATGAATTATTCACCAATCATCGTGCTTGGAGTCTCTGGACTTGGGTCTTGGCTGCTTTCTTGCGCAACATGTCTTCTGCATTATGGCGTCGCAGGACTGCCGCCATTGGCTGCCGACTGTGATATAGAAATCTTAAAGGGGGGTGGATGAAAATCGACGTAAAACCAACAATCATTATTTTCTCCTTTGACAGAATGAGATCGAGGCAGCCGTTTGGCTATTACCCCCTCCTCCATGTGCCGTCTGCTGTTCTTCCTTCTCGCCTCTCTTCGGAAGAGCAGTTCAGTTTTGGTGGTGTACCTGTGGTAACATTACCGGTATCGCAGTTGAATGCGCATTTGGATTACCACATCAGCGTACTAACCAGGTACCTGCTAAAAGGCCTGCCAGATCCAAAAAGGCAAAAGAAAAGGAAAAGGGACAGCCAGTCAATCATGGCTAGCAGGTGGGGTTTTGGCCCACTCCTTTCCTGGGAGCTTTTTTATCTCTAGTCGTCCAGTGACTTCCTCCCCCACGGAACGGGTATACCCTTTGACGTATCTTTGTGATCTGCCGCCACTTCCCCGCTACCTTGAAACACCCTCAAGGGCTCAAGGCGAACCTTGGTCGCTGCATCTAAGCTTAACTCTTGGCGTTGCCTACCCTCCTGCAATCTTTCCCGTTTCCCTATTTTCTTTTTTTTTTTCCCTTTTCTTTCCCATTATTTTCTTTTCCCATTGATCCACACCATCTTCGTGTCTACCCTCCTCCTCCCACGCCTTTCTCTTTTGGTCACTGGTCACTCCCCTCCCGACACGCTACTTTGTATAGACACGGCACAAACTACACCATTCTCTCTTCCCTCCCCCCCGCCCCCCTTTGCACTCACAATCCCTTTTGGGCGTAGCCTACTTTCCTCACCCAGGTTCAACCTACTTGCCTTCCTCTGGAAGCTTGCGAGCCCACCGTACTCCGTAACCTCTTCCACACCCACGCCGCCCCCCTATGGATATGATGAATTCCCGCACGCCAAAACTGCCACAAATGGAGAGTGCACGGAACGAAACGTAGAGTCAAATAAAATGAAAAGAATTATGGAGTAGGTTCTCCATATTCCACAGTGGCTAACCATGAAGGAGAAGACTGTACAGTAAAGAAGAAGAAAAAAAAAAATTAGGACCTGTGCCTGACTGGAGTTGTCGTACTCCATACGCCATTCCATGTTTCCCTATTGCTTGTATTTTGCCTTTTCTTCTTTTGCGCAAAAATCCACACTTTGTTCACCCCCATTCATTCCGCGCTCTCTCTCTTTTCCCCTTCCCCTACGTACTTGCGTTCTCTTCTACTAACTACGGAGTACTATCTACCTTCTCTCCTTTTCGCTTTTGCCCTTTTGGTCTTTTGACTTTGGGCTCAACGCTCGTTTCTTTTTTGTGGCCGTCCCGTGTCCGCCACTTAGTAGTTTAGTTAGTTAGTAGTAAGTAGATATTTGTTGCTGCTTAGATAGAAAAACTACTTACTACTTAACATAACATAATACTTTATTATTACAAAATACATAGTCATTTGCCGTCTGCATCAGCAAAGTAAAAAGCAGTAGTAGTAGTAATAGTAGTAGTCCTTGTGTCTCTCGTAATTAATATACATACATAGTTACATACATACATACATACATGCCTACTTTGCCTGCCTGCCTACTACTTGCCTGCTTGCCTCCGCTCAACTCAACAGCGGAGTTTCAGGTGTCCCCTTTTCCGCACACCCTGCGCGTTTTAGCCTTCTTTTCTTTTAATTTCTTACAATTACTTAAAATGCTGCAAGTATGAATTATATTAACAATTTTCGAATTAAATCAAAACATAAGTAAGCAAAGTAAGTAAGTAAGTAAGTAGTGTCCGATTGCTAGCTAGCTAGTCTAGTTTCTTGTCTCGCATTTGAATCTGGAGATGACGCAAGATTTTGTATCGCCCAGTCCGATTGTTATTTCATCTATCTAACTAGATACCCTATGCATTTCGTTTCCCTTAGATTATGGTGATCATATTAGGAAAGTGAACACAAAAATAGAAAAGAAGCAAATGGGGAGAGGAGGGGAGGGGGGGGCTATGGGGAGGGACCTAGAAATTCATTTTCTGGAAAATGAAATGGGGCTATGGGGGTGTGGGAGTTGAGAGAATGAAGAAAAATAAAAAAAAAAATAAAATAACATGAAAAATAAAAAAAAAAAAAAATGGGAGAAAATAAAATGGAAAATGAATAGGGGAAGGGAAAGGGAAAATAGGTGAGAAGAGAGAGGGAAAAGCCAAAAAAGAAAAATGCAGGAAAGGGAAAAGGAAAAGGGAAAAAAAAAAAAAAAAAAAAAAAGGGCAATGCTCAATTCAGAAAAAGACCCCCCCCTCTTCCTCTCTCTCACTCTCACACTCTTTCTGCTCTCCCCTCTTCTTTGCTCTGCTCTCTCCCAGAAAAGAAAGGTATTAAAATAAATAAATTATAATTATAATAATAATAATAAAAAAAATAAAATTAAAAAAGAAATAAAAATCGATCTAAACCAGGGAAAGTAGAAGACCCATCCAAAACCTTGAGAGTCACCCGAGGAACTGGTTCCCATTTGGAGATTTCCACTGCCACTAAGCAATTCCTCTCGTTTTTTTAACACTGGCGCCGTTTCGAAGCCTAAGCGGCCCAAAGTAACGATCTGCAACCGTCCCCGACGGGACGTCGTCAGTGGCACTAGGCCATCACCAACACGGCAACGCCAGGGCTTCCCTTCGTCCCTGCGGTCCATCCTCATGCTGAGATCCTGTATTTGTTCATAAGCTTCGCCGATCCCCTTCGGGGCCCTTCCCCAGACTGTCTTGTCTTTCCTTCTTCCTGTCTGTCGGGTTCTCACCTTCAAAAGGGATTTCTGAATTGTTTTTCTACCTCGAGCTGACCTGGCTCTCTTCTACTCTTTCTCCTCTCTCTCATACTTATTTCCTGGTCTACTACCCTCAGGGAAACTACTTTTACTTTGCGCCTCTCCCATCATCCTCGAAGCTTGTCCTACACTTGCATTCTCTATACATTTTGCGCGGATCAATTCATCCTCTCCTCCCACTTCCTCCTTGTTGATCATCCTCGCGATCTATTTTCTCTCCCACCCCCTTCCATTCTTCTGCTCCTCCCCACCTTCTACCATTCCAGTTCACCCGCGCAATCCCCTTCTTGTGTCGTCAACCTTTTCGCGGGGAAACACCTGTGTTTTGGTTCCTGCATTTTCCAGGGATATCTTGCGCCGTGAATCTCGTGCCCCCCAACGTCTTGTCTCACTTTTTTTTCTTCTCTAAATTCAAATCCACGCGATAAACCAACTATCCTCCATGACGATGGTCATTGAGAACCAGAACCGCCAATACGGCGGGATGGGCTTCGATAACGTGTATCAACACAACATGCACCACAGCGCTCCGCAGTTCACCGACCCATGGACCGCTCAAACTTCGTCCCATTCCACTCCTCCGGTCTATGCGACTTCCATGGGACCCAGCCAGATTGGCCTCAGCCATGTTAAGCAGGAGGAAGTGAGCCGCCCACCGATGTCTATGCCATACTCGAGTATTCCCGTTTCCGCTCCCTCGATGGTCGCCGGGAGCAACTACCCTACTGCTACTGCTTCGAGTTACCCCGGACCGGAGATGATGGGTTTGTCGCACGACATGCCGCGCACTTCTTTCGATCAAGCCCCGGCCTACACTACCGCCTCGCCCATGACCAGCTTCGCACCCGCGAGCTACGCCCCGCTCAGCTACGCTCCGTCTATGCACCAACACCAGGACCGTCGGATATCTCATGCGTAAGTTTACTCTTCATCTGGAGCTTCCAGCGGTGTGGAAATATGCTTACATTTCATTTTCATCCTGATTAGTGATGCTCGCGTCGGTCAATCGCAACCCCCTTCCGCCCCAACATTCGGAGATGCTCTTGATGCCAGCCGTGGAATGGTCGCGCTCAGCCAGGATATGACACCCCGCAATATCTACGGCCCTCGCAGCTCGCGAGGCTCGGGTGACTCTTACGGTTTCCCCTCGACACACTCATCGGGATCGTCGATCTCTTCCGGCGGGAACTACCCCTACTATTCCGCCTCTGTCGCATCCGTGGAGTCCTCTGTGACTGATTACAGCTCTACTACTTCGGAATCTTACGAGAATGGCCATCTGTCGCGGACGCTGCCTCGCCCGTCAACCCTGTTGACGGGAAGTGCGCCTCCGGGACCCCAGTCGATGATGAGCCAATTCAGCTCCAAGATGCCGTCCAACACCCAGAAGAAGCACAAGTGCAAGGTGTGCGACAAGCGGTTTACCCGCCCTTCGTCTCTTCAGACTCATATGTACAGTCACACTGGTGAAAAACGTAAGTTCCAGAACGAGCCTTTACTAGTGGTCTGTGGTACTGATATTCGGGAATCTAGCATTCGCATGTGACGTGGAAGGCTGTGGTCGTCATTTCTCCGTCGTCTCCAACCTGCGGCGGCACAAGAAGGTCCACAAAGGAGAAAAGGAAGGTGCTTCGGGCGAAGACGAAGAGTAAATCAAGTCTCTTCTCAGTCTCGAACGCCTCCCCCTTAACGCCACCTTAACGGGGCGGAGGAACAGCGGACTACGATCCTGAGACGCATCGCAACACATTGTGCGACGTCTCACTCTTGAATCTGGTTCCGTATTCTTGTACAACAGCTTCGATTCCTCTTCTACTTTTCTTCTCTTTCCGTCTCGGCCAGTGTGGCAGAGAAACGATACCCCATTTCTTTTGTTTCCTTTGTTTTTCTCAGATTCCCCTGGACAGGCAAGACACGGTACAACGGCTCGGAGGGTTGCTAGTGATGTCTTTATTACCCAAGTTATGACCATAGAGGTACCGGTTGTTTTGCTGGTTGGTGATTTGTTTTTTTCCTTTTTCTTTGGTTTTGATTACCCATTTCCTTCTTATCTCTCGCTAGACTAGGGAGTTGGTCCGATGTTGTTTGATTTCCTTTTCTGTTCGGCATGGCTTTTTCTGCTCAGATACCAGCTGGGGTTTGGTTCTTGATGATTCACTTCTTTTCCTGCGTTTTCCGTGATATGATTGCAAATCGGAATATATACGCAGCAGGCCCTTTACTTTCTCATATCTTTTTTTTTTCTACGATCTAGAGTATTTCTCTTCTTCTCCCCCCTTTTTTCTTATGTTTGTTTCCATTCGGTTACTTGACCTTTTTCCTTGCTGTGCCGCAGAGTCTCGCGCGATGATTTGTTATCGGGAATTAGCATGGGCTGTTGATCTGAGTTGGGTTTGTTTTTCTGCTGGGATAAATTGCTATAAGGAGGCGCACTCGCCAACGCGAGTGCAGGGCTGATACCCGTTGCAATTGGGCGGAGCATGGGCTGGGAAATGCAGGCTGCTTTGTTTGCCACGGTTAAACTTGTTTGGAGCATACTAGACACCCACGGTGTCACCACGGTCGCTACTATATACCTTATTGTCTAATCAAAGATGCTTGAAATGCACCCCCGGGGTTCCTTGTAGACTGACGCTGTCCTTATCTCTGTACTTTTTTCTTCGAACCAGTCTTTCCATGCTCAGTGAACAGTGACAATGACCCCTGGTCCGCACGCGCCTCTGTTTGACCTGTACAGCCTTCACGGGGGAATGGATCCATCTACTTTTGCCCAAGAAGTATGAATCCAACTCCGTGCAGCAGGTAAGCTCAGACCCTTGCTTGCCTGCTTGTGCTTGCAGCCATCGGCGTACCTTCTTCACTGGGAGCTGAGCATGCTGAATTGGAAGCTAAAGCATCTGTGCTTTAGGGGCCAAAGCAAGGGTCACCTCCCGACTTTCTCCGCATTGTCCGAGTGTCTGTCAATGCTCGGAAATCCCGAATGGACGAACATCAATGTCTTTTGTCTCTATGTCCATGATGTCTTCATCTCTGTTCGATAGGGTGTGGTTTCTCAAGATTTATGTCTATTATCCCAGCTGTATGCAAAGACTGACGCTGGAGCAGCGGGGTTTGTTCGAGGTGATGTGGGTTGTCATTAGACCAATGAGTTTATGATGGAAGGTTGGGCTAGTAGCCTTGGATATATATATATGATTATGTATATCTAGGGCTGCTATATATGGGGAAGTAGTGGGGTTCACGGCCAAATCGCTAATGGTGATGGTGTAACAGGTTGTGGGTTTGAAGCGCCGGGCGCGTTCTTGGGGAAGAGGTTATTTCATTCAAAGATGATGGCGAGGCATGCTCGTAGCCTGCAGGAGCTGCTGTTTATTCTATTTCATGTTTATCCCGAACTGGTCTTGCATATTGAAAAGGCTTCAATGTCGGGGCCATCTCCCTCTCATCGTGGTCATCCATCAGCCAAGACAACCATCCGCAAGAAAAACACAGCAGAAGCACCAAGAACATGCGGTATACAGCGACATACGGCTCACGGCAACTGGCATGTTGAATCTTCTATGCGAAGCGACAGTAATTTCACATCGCACCAATAGCTATGGAGGACATCGTGTATCCTAACCTGCGCATGACATTGTGTATGCAGGTTGTCCCACAACCATCTCCAGTATATGTCGAATAATAATAGCAGGCGCTAACTCGGCTACTCTACCGCAGGTGTACCTAAAATCAAGAGATTTCTGGTTCGGAAATGTTCTCAAAGGCCGATGCATGGCCACGAGGGCAACGGCGCTTATATCAAACCTTGTTGGTTTTATGCGCGTCTCACACCCACTGCCGTCCGCGAATGCCTGTCAGACAGATCCCAAGGTAGATTACACAGGCGTGTGGCTATATCGGCAAGGCTGTTTTTGGGTGTAGCGCCTGTGCTGCCTATAGGATATGACTTGTTGGCCTGGGGGGGTCCATGCTATGCCCGACTGACTGACTTGGTTGAATGTTGGAGGGTTGTTGACTGTGGGTTGTCTTTGCATGCGAGATATCGGGCATACTGAGATTCTTTTCTTGTGAGGAAGGCTACTTTCTCGTTCACTTCAGTTCTCACCGGTTATCTCGTGTGGAGGCAGTGTATCTGGCTATCCAATATATCGATGCTTGTGTGTATCAACTGGACTGGATTGATTTAGCATGGTTGAGAGGGAATCCTGAGGGATGTCAAGGCAGACTGGTTATGTTGCTTCTCAGAATTGGAACAGAGTGAATAGGTGGTGATTCAGTGAGCATCAGTATCTGCAATAACTGAGTGGATCGTTCTCCTGCTACTTATATCTGTCGATGCTTCCTTCCATCAGAACAATTCCCTCACCACCACCAACCCACTTCATCTTCTGCTTCAGTTGAGAATAGAACTCACAACCCAAAACTACTCGCAAGCTACTCATCTCTCATTCAAGAAACAAACATCTACATCATGATGTTTCTCAACTACCTCCTCATCCTTCTCCTCCCCCTCCTCGTCACCGCAATCCCACACTCAACCCCCGATGATTCCAATAACACCGACACCGACATTGATACCAACACCAACGCCAACGACATCCTAACCACCACCTCCATCTTCAGCTCCACCATCACTAAGCTGAAGAATCTCCACCTCACTTCATGCTCGCTCAACACCACCACTCTCAACATGAACCACAACCTCACAACCCTCCCCACCCCAGCCACCAACCTCACCCTCCAGCACGTCGCCCTCGGCCGAGGAACCCAAAACTACACCTGCCCTTCACCTCAGAATTCCACCAGCAAGCCCACCTCCGTTGGCGCCCTGGCCACCCTCTTCGATGTCTCCTGCATCGCCTCGGCCGATGAGGAGCTTCTGCACCATCTCCCTGCCCTCGTACAAGGCGTTCCCTTCGAGACGTTGGACTTCATTGCCACGATGATCAGCCTGGCTGGAACGGGAGCGGGCATTCTCGGTGAACATTACTTTACGGGCTCTGGACACCCGTCCTTTGATCTCAGGTTCAGTGGGGATGACGATTGGGCTACGATGAAGAAGGTCGCTAGTGCCAATGCTCCCAAGAGTGTGGATGTGCCGTGGCTCAAGTTAGATGGGATTGATGGAGTGGGAATCAAGGTATGCATTGCCTCTATTTCTGTGCTTGTGTGCCTGAGTTACATGGTACTAACTGTGGTGTGTAGGAAGTTTTTCGTGTTTATACAGCTGGCGGTGTTAGTCCGGCTACGTGCGCGGGACACGAGGGCACGTTTGAGGTGGAGTATGCGGCGGAGTATTGGTTCTATGGATGATATCTCTTCTGAGGTGTAATGAGCCTCGTTGTTGAAGCTGTGTGCCCGTGCTTCGATGGGACAGAGGATATGCGTTTCTTATCTGGTGAATATGGTACTTTGCGATGGTCTATAATTGCCTAACGTATTGAGCAACCTAAATTCATGATAATTCTGCTCACAGACGCAGAAGCAATCCAAGCTCCACATTGTAGAGAAATAAACAAAGGGAAGAAAGATATCATTGCAACTTCCCGTCTCCTACAAAACCACAAATCACACTCCCCATCTCAACAGACCCATCCGAACGTCACATCTATACCTACACACGCTATACTCAACACATCCTATAACCCACGCCAACGCGCTTAAACCCAGCCACGTCCGGATCCCTCCGCCACTCAAAGGCTATCCAAGCACCACGTCAACACAAAGTCTATCTATGCTTTTGCTTCAGCTGGCAGCTGCGCCCAATCATTCCACATAAAGTTAAAGCAATAGACTGGCCCATCATATAAATTCAATAGTTAGTAACTTCAGCCACATTTTAACCGATAAACCACCGCCACCACTCAAACACTAACTACCACTAACTGGCAATTAAGCGGGATCTATCATCTAACTATTCCCATCTTTCTTTCTTTCAGCTGTCATCATCCACGATGGCAAAGTTTCAGAGTAGAAGTAAGCACACATGCATAATTAATATCCCGTCAAGAGTATCCTTTCATTCTGGGTGAATCCCATATTTTCCTAACAAATAGCTGAACAAAGTATACAGATTCATGCTAGAAGTTAAAATAGAATCAACAAGCGATTATGTCATACCCACCACACTCACATCACGTGACTTCCATAATCTCTCCCCCAAAACCGGTAAGCTCCGGCAGTAAGGCTCACTCACTCACAGGCCAGACAAGCCAGAACAAGCCCGCAGCTGAGAGAACAGAACTGGGAAGCCTGGAACACCCGCGTTTTCCCCCCAAAAACGCGTAGCTCAGAGCACCACCACCAGTTCCGGACGGACCTTCATCCCATCCACACCCATCTCTTTCCCCCCAATCATCAACCTCTTTCTTTCATCTCTTCTTTTTCAGTACAACCACAATCATCATACCATTCACGGATTTTTCCTTTTCCTCAATTTATTTGAATTGAGTTTTGTTTGAATTGCGCATGGTGGTTGTGAGAGTGTAATCGTCTCATTCGCTTTCTTCTCTTTCATCTATCTATTTCAATCCCCCTTCTTCCCTCCCATCTCATTCATCCATCTGTCGCAACTTGCTTGCTTACAGACTTTACCTTACGAAATACTCTCGTCTACTACGATACACACTTACCTATCTTCCTACCTACCTCACATCGCATATCGCAATCCAGATCAAAATGGCAACCGACTACAGCAAAAAGACCAACGCCGAATTGATCGAGATCCTCAAGTCGCGCAATCTCCCTCACACGGGCAAGAAAGCTGAGATGGTCGCTCGGCTCCAGGAGAACGATAACAGCGCTGCTGACAAGTCGGAGGAGAAGCCTGCTGCTGCTGCTGCTGCTACGAAGGGTGACAACAACACCGATGATGTGATTGACTGGGAAGACGATGAGGTCCCTGCTGGTGAGGCGGCTGCTAAGGCGTCGACTGCGACGGGCGCCGCGGCGATCGCGGCCGGTGGACAAGGCGAGGTAGAGAACCCCGTCAAGGTGCCGAATCAGAAGTTGGATGAGGAGGCGGATCCCGCGACGGCGAAGGATTTGAAGGTCGAACAACCTGGTGATGCTGCGCAGCAGCAGGAGGAGAAGAAGGAAGAGGAGGGTGCTGGTGCTGGTGCTACGGAGAAGGAGGGAGAGGAGGAGAAGAAGCCGGCAGTTACTTACTCCGCTGGGTTGCCCATTACGGAGATGGAGGAGGAATTGAAGAAGAGGAAGGCTCGCGCGGAGAAGTTCGGTGTTACGGAGGAGTCCAAGGCTGCGATTGAAGCGGCGGAGAAGCAGCTGGAGCGGGCGAAGCGGTTCGGTACTGCCGCTCCGGCTCCTGGGGAAGTCGGTGTGAAGAAGCTGGATGAGGCGTTGCCGGAGAAGGAGGAGAAGTCGCGCAAGAGAGGTCGCGGTGATGAGCAGAGCGGCGGCGGTGGTGGTCGCGGTGGAAAGAAGAGGGATCTCGGAGGGAGGAACAGGTTCCGCGGCAGAGGAGGACACGGTGGGAACCGTAACCAGGGTCAAGGTCGCCCTCAGAAGCAACAGAATGGCGGTGGTGCTACTGCTGCTGCTGGGGCCAAGACCAACTGGAGTCAAAAGGACGTCGCGGCCCTGGAAGCTCGGAAGAAGAGGTTCGGAGCTGCTGCGTAGACCCAGAGGAGGGTCGCAATGTGATATTCCGGTTCATATTCTGCTATCTCTTCTTTCTTCTTTCTTTACAGGTTACTGGCGTTTTAGGGGAAATTCAAGCTTTGGTCTGAAAATATGCTGTTGTGTACATGTTGCGAACTGGAGTCGCGGTTGACGGTGTGAGGGATATTGTGATAACTTGGCCTGGGTGCCACTAAGAAGTGCCGGACCTGGTCGATCGGGTCGGCCATTGTGTAACTGGCAAATACGATTCGGTTATTGGATCTGACGGTGTGACAAGAAGTCAGGGCCATTAAGGAGATCCCGGTAGGCATTGTTGGATATTGCCCGGAGATTTCCCCTGGATGTGGTCAAAGATCCGTGCAGGGTGACATGCATCCATCCAATCCGCCCTTGTGTTGCTTTCTTTTTCTTACCCTTCTTCAGTCATTGTTCTCCCCATCAAACATCACTCACCATTGACGAAGAAACGAGACGAATAATATAAAAGGAGGCTGGTGTACAGCATATAAGCTATCGAATCCCAAGTAAATAGTCGAGCTGCAAGCCTAATTCTGTAGTGGAACTCGTAGCATTCACACGTTCAGCTGAAAATCCCTGGCGCATGATCATGATGGCGCCCCAGTTCCTGCAGCGCCAACCGACCGACCGACCGACCGTGGCTTCTTTCCTGGCTGGCCTTGGGATCGGATCGGATCTGCAGAACTTAGTCTATCATCACGCACATTCCTTCTGTTTTCGCCCCGAGTCGCATGTTTTATCCGTCCTAGACAGACGCGTAAACAACCAACTGTGAACAAGTTCTAGATGCTCCGTGATTGGTATATGTCACATCGCTTAGGGGAGACGAGAGAGGGGGTAAAGTTCAGATATAGTAAGTAGGCCAGAAGTCAGTTAACCGCCGTCCCACTGAATCACATTCACAAAAAGGCAGCAGGGGCGGGGGCCTTTGCTTCACTCTGTCGGGCAAAGCCCTTCGTAGTTGGTTCAGTGCGCCCGTGGTGCTAATTGCTGAGCCAGGCTCCGTTCACCTTGGATCCGTCAATCAGGCGTGATTGTCGCCCCGTGTTGAATGTCTAGCGGCGGATCAAGACCCACGGCTCAGCGACTCCGCATTTCCCTCGGATCGGGGAGAGGCAATGAGGCACTTTTCTTACTTCTTAGTTGATTTTGAAAGGATTGCAGATAGGCAATTAGGGACCGATTGTGGTTTGCTAAGGCGGCGGGGATCCACCGGGTTTAGTCCTCGGTCTCAGCTGCTGTGTGCGGCCTGTAGCTTCGGGGATGTCACTGGTTGTGTGAAAGGTACGCGAAGGAACAAAGTATATCATGTCTGGCCGTTGTGAGAGTGGATCGAGGCAAATGTCCATTTCGTTCTGTGTGATGGGGGCAATAAACGATGTGACTGGATGGGGGGAAGTTGAATGGACCGGGGCGAACCTTCCGGTGTACCAGGGTTGGGTGTGGTGTAGTACCTTGTCGCTCATTCAGTGCACACACGGCAGAGAAAGTGTGAGATAGTTGCTCTCTAGAGATAACAAAGTAGACATTGCAGTGTAGTTGGTTCCTCCAGGGACTTCGAAATCTCATTGTGGGAGAAAGAGAATGAAGGGCCTGCCTGGCATCTGCATGTGTGGTGTTGCTATAATTAAAATCGAGATGGCTAAAGTCGGCCTCTCCGAATAGTCAGTGACCATCAGTGACGGTCAGTGACCACCACCTGACCGGCTTGGGTCGCCGCCGTGAAAATCTCCGATCAGCATCAAATCAGCGCCCATCTTCTCCAAAAAAAAAAAAACACACAGACCACTTCGAGCTTGAACCTCGCTTTTTAGTCCTTACAAAGCACTAGTTGACTGCGGCAATCCTGACTGACAACTGACAGAAGACTTACAGTGACCACCAGCATGCTTGGCTGATGCCTGCATCTGCCATTCGCGCGTTGGCCCACGGCAAATGGCCGGTTCAGCGCACGACGGTCTTCCCGCTATCTCACGCCACTCAACTCCATCTCGACCTGTCAAGCGATGCCGTTGAACAATCCCCAACCCTGGAAGACCATGGTACTTACCAGTTAGAATAGCCGTAACAACCAGGAGTGGGCCGCGGGCATGGATTCCTTCCACTGTTCACTGGCCTTGCCTCTGCTGTCATTACGGCTTGTCCCCGGCCTGGTCGAGCTTGACGGCTTTCGAGAGATTATTCGCCAGCCTGCTCGTGACTTCGGCTGATTTAGATAGACTCCAGGATTGAGACCGTCGATAACAGAGGGCGGGATCACAGGAGATAATTCACCAGATCAAGAAAGGGAAGCAGAGAAAAGGAGAAGTGCCTGCGCCAATTACCATCCCGGTCACATCACTGCTCGAATCCCGACCCAGCGTCGATCGCACAAATCGCGCCAGGATTATCTGTGATGGTTGACGCTCTCTAGACGGATCGTTTACCTACGAATCGGGTTACTGGTTCCCCCACTACGCACGATGTCGCCAAACGGGGTTCGAGGGTAGTCCTGGCTTGTCCAGGTTTCGCAGATGGTCCAGATCTATTCCTGGTACGGGACTAATTAAGACTTCCAGCTCCCAGTTCGCATGCCCTTCTCTTTCTCTCCCTCTTCTTCTTCTCTTCTATTCATCTCTATCGTTCTTTTCGTTGTTTTTTCCTGTGTAGCTGGT